TGCAGCTGCGCACGGCCCCTGCAGAGGGGCGCGGCTCCGGCCGAGGGCCTGCCCTCCTGCCCTGCGCCCGGCCTGCAGCTCCCCACCGCACGGCAGTTAAGCAGGGCGGCCTGGGGTGGACGCGGGGCGGGAGGTGGAGTGAGGGCCCCGGACTCACGGAGGCCCTGGCCCTGCTCACCTGGTTGTGTAGACCCGAAGGACTCTGAGGACGTGGCCGTGTCGGTGGAGGAGGTGAGGCTGGAGACACTTCTGGGAGCCATGGTCCAGGCAGCTGCAGGCCCTCGTCTTCCAGGCATGGGGCTTTGGCGCGCTAGCTCTCCTTATATACCTTCAGCGGCGGCCCATCGTCCAATCAGTGCCCGCGGCCCCAGAGCTCCGGCTGCTGATTGGGCCCCGGTGGCAGGAACACGAGGCCCCGCCCACAGCATGAGGCTCCCCCAATGGCTGCACGAGGCCCCACCCTCTGCACGAAGCCCCACCCTCTGCACGCAGCCACGCCCTCAGCGCGAGGCCACGCCTCCATAGCGTGAGACCCCCCCCAATGGCTGCACGAGGCTCCACCCTCTGCACGAGGCCACGCCCTCTGCACCAGCCTGCCCCCCCCACTCCTTGTGGCCTCAGCTGAGTGGCCTCTCTGGGTCATAGTCCACAGGTAAAGGAGAAGACCCGGATGCCTGGTTCCCTCCACAGCCTTCAGTTCAAGAGGCTGACGGTGATGTGTGGACTCCTGGATTATCGTGATGACCACCGACTCCTCCCAACACCCCCCCACACACACCAAGTAGGCCTCTGCCCAGCCTCTGGCCCTGTTGCTTGGCTGCTGCTGGCCTCAGTTTCTCATAAAGCAATACCAGGGGACCGACAAGCGGGGCCTTCTTGGAGCAAACGCAGCGGCAGTGGCCTCTCCTTTTGCCTTTTTTCCCCCCAAAAAAGAAGTCCTTGAGGGGTGAAAGAGCAATTTTGAAATTAAACCTCTTAGCAACAGTCTTAGCAATAGTCTTCACAAGTAAGGACGATGTCTGCTGGGAAAATAGATAGACTAGCCACCAGAAAGACAACAGGGAAGCATTGAGCCATTGTTTAAGGCATTCCAGAAAATTGACATTGTGACCGGAGAAGATGCCATTTTCTGGTCAGACCTACGATCTTCGGCGTGTTGGCAAGGGTTCAGGAATGAGGTCCTGCCCTGCCAGGGCTGCACGCCAGTGCCCACCAGCCCAGCCTCCTACCTCCCTCCTGGGGCCTCCGAAGCATGTTTGGGACGGGGCAGAGGAACAAGAAGCAACTTCCACGTGAATCATGTAGACCCTGGTTACACTATTGCCCAGCTGTAAAATAGCCACAATTGTTTTAAAAGGACGTGGTGGGCCAGCCTGCAGGTGCAATCCTGTAATCCCAGCTCATGGGAGGCTGAGGAGGAAGGTTTCAAGTTTCCAGCCAACTTGGATACATAGCCAGACCCCCCTCTCAAAAAAATAAATAAAATGACCAGGCAGATTCAAACAAAGTGGTGTCTTGCACCTGGCAGAAAGCCGAGTATTTAAAGTATCTATCAATACTGACTGACAAGGACGTGAAGAAATGGACGGCAAATTGGTGGCCTCTTTTGGATGCAATTCAGCCATGTCAAATTTAATTAAAGATAGACTCATCCGAGTGCTCACCCATTCATCTCTGGGGAGAAACCAAGAGGAATTTACATTGGGGTGCAAGGACACTCGCTGTAATCTTAATTGAAATTCAAAACAACCTAAAATCCCATCAAATAGAGTCAGCTGTGGCTTATTTTACAGTGGAATAGTATATAGCTGTGAAAATAAACGAGGCAGGCCATAACTGTAGATTATACTCCAATTTCTGAAAAGACAGACAAAACTCTGTGAGTGTGTGTGTGTGAGAGAGAGAGAGAGAGAAAGAGAGATGACATAGAAAATGGTCTGAAATATCAACTCATATTGTCTTTGAAGCAGGTACAAGATTTGGAAGGGCTACATTTAAAGCAAACTTACCTTTTTCTCTTTGCACACTGTCTTCAGCTGCTGGAATTTTCCTGGTTGTGATCCTCAAAGTGTTCTAAAGCTAAATCAGACCTCGTTCCCCCAACATTCTCATGGCTCCTAACTGCCCTTGGGTGAAGTTTGAAGTCTTCAATGCGGCTTACAAGTGGCTCACCACCTTCAAAGTCCACATTCAACTGAGCTGTGCAGGCTGTGCGTAGCTCAGGGGCAGAGCGTGTACTTAGTGCTCATGAAGCCCTGTGCTCCACCTCTAGGACCAAAACCCGCCAGCCAAAACCACACTGTCACTCTTGGAATAGATGCAGTGCAGCTATGTGTACCTGTGTGCTTCCTCTGCATCTGTTAAAATAATAGAAAAATAGTCCCACGTTTTTGCCCCTGCCCACATCCATGCCCCTTTGCAGCTCAGACTCAATCCTTAGTCCTGAGATGACCTTGGCCTCGCTTTGGACAATGGAATTACGGTGGGAGGGACGTGATGCTGGTCCCATTGCCCTGATTGTCTGCTGGAGACTGAGAGGCCCACGGCCCGGTCACCCCCATGGCCAGGCAGACCCTAGCCGCCCTCCCATTGAGCACAGGTGCTTGAATGAGCCCTGCAGAGGTCATGTGAGCTTGATCCAGATCAGCAGAGCCACCTGCTGCTAGTCTATAGTGTTCTGAGTCCTGGGACTGTTTGTCACGCAGAACTAGCTAACCAATGCACTTAAAGTAGAATGCTTTTTTACCCCATCTACCTTCTCTGGAATCTTTTCCACTCATCCCTTGGCCTTGGTGTGGACACTTTCTTAGAAGAGCCTTCCTCGGGCCTGAGAAGGCTGCAGTGTCACTAAGTTCTCCAGATGTCCCCAGCAAGGAATGACAGCTCTGGCCCTAGCCCTGAGCTCTGGGTGGGGGGCTGGGTTGGTGGCACACCGCATGACACCTGTATACAGTAGGTGTCATTGCTGTGCAGCTGTGGGTGTCCTGGAGCCACAGCCCAGCTCAGCAGCATGGATGGAGGCCCCTAAACTGCCTGCAGGTGCTGAGCTAGCACAGGAAGCTGAGAGGCAAAGAGGCGAACGGGAGCTGGCGCAAACGGGGCCGCAGCTCTGATCACATCTGTGGGCGTTTCCAAGAACTGAGAAATACAGAACGCTTCGAGATGAAAACATTCCCACGAATGCTCCGTGCTGTGCCAGGATCCAGTTTTGCATTCGGAGCAGGGGGAGGGGGGGAGATCTAAAATGCACTGTATGATCTAAAAATTCCTCTCGGGGTTTGCCGTTTTTCAGGGAAACGAGCACAGCGTGTCTCGGTCGGCTTCTGAGAGCAGAGGCCCCCACGCTGCCTTCCTTGACTTCTTCCCCGAGGCTTCCACAGAGCCCAGCCTCTGCTGAAAACTTTTCACTGCCCGGGAACCCAGGCTGCTGGCCTCCTCCCAGCCCTGAAGCTCGCTGCTCTAAACTTTCTGAAGCACGTAGATGTGTGCTTTGTGCAAGCGGGCCTTGCACCAGTAGGTTATTTCTAGTGGCTCACACCTATAATCCTAGCTACTCGAAGGGCTGAGAGCGGAGAATCATGGTTCAAAGCCAGCCTAGGCAGGAAAAGCCATGAGACTTTATCACCAGGAAACTCCCTACCAGAAAACTGGAAGTGGAACTGGAGCTCAAAGTGGTCGAGTGCTAGTCGAGCAAAAAGGGCCAGCACCAGGCCCTGAGTTCAAGCTCCACAACTGACCAAAAAAGAAAAAAACTCTCACAGAGTTTCCTGCCCAGGCTGGCTATGAATCTCAGTCTCAGCTCTCAGCCTCCTGAATAGCTAGGATTACGGGTGTGAACCACCAGCACCCAGCTCTGAGGCTGAGGGGACAGGACGCACCTCCCTCATGCCAACGTGGGAAGGAGGCCTGGCCAGCCAGACTACATGCTTCATCGACTTGGTCTCATCCATCCATCCAATGGCTGCTGGTGGCTGTTCCTGCTCCCTCCTGCCCTCCTTCTTCTGGTAGCAATGCCCATGTTTCTTTGTGGGAACTCCAGACACTTGGTGATCAGGGGTAGGGAATGCCTGGCCTCTGAACCACATAAGGTCCTTAAGTCACTTGGCTGTCAAGGCAACTATAGGTAAGACCTGAAATTCAATAAATCCGGGAGCATTTTTCTTTCCTTTTCCTTTTAGGAGCTTTATTCATAGCAACAACATGCAACAAATGGCCCTTGGCAAAAACAGTTCCCCACCCCTGGAAGTTGTGAGGTAGAGGTGGTGAGCATGTGACCTAGCAATGGCCAATCAGAAGATGAGTTTTCCCCTCTGACATTGTGATTGGTTTAGGAATGATCACGTGACCCAAGCCTGGCCAATCAGGAGATGAAGGCATTGTGATTGGCTTAGAGATGAATAGGTGCCATAGGTCTGGCCAATAAGAGCTCTACCTGGGACCTTTGCTGTACTTAGGGGAAAGAGAAGCCCAGCCCCTGTCACAGCTAGCTGACCCAGTAGCTTCTGGGACTGTTTCTGCAGTCTATGGATGAAGCCAATAAAGGGGGGGAGGGGGGGTGTAGCCAGGAGGAGTCGGAGCTAATCACATCATCTGAGCATGCACCTGGCGGTGCCCTACGCCCTTCTTTGTTTTGTATGTGAGCCAATAATGTCTCCCTCTGTTTCAGTTCATTTGAGTTGGATTTCTCACCTTGGAAGACAGCAAAGGTGGGATCCCTGAAGTCACCTGCCCCAGCCCACCAAGCTCTGAGACCTTGCGTCCCGACACCCAAGCCGCAGCTGCATCCTGCTCCCCCCAGGCCCAGGCCCAGTGTCCCACTGTCTGCGGTGTGTTAGGAAGTGGGCTGGCCAGTAAGCCCACAGTGTCAAACGAATTCCCTGAAGGTCAGCGCTAAGCTCCCTCTTGCTGATCAGGAAGCTTAGAGAGGTTGCGAAACTTGCTGGTGGTTCCCAAGGTCGTCTGGGTCTCTTTGATGTCCAAGTTGAGTTTTCCCCACTCCCAGGATGGTTTCCTCTCCACGCTCCCCCACCCCCCTCCACACACGCACACATACTCCCACAGGGATCTGGGCTACTTGTTGCTGCGCACTGGCCCACCTAGCCATCTCCTGCCAGGGCTCAGGGGAAACTGCCAGGTTTCCATCCATCCTGTGGGCAAAAAGTTTGAAAGCAACACACTGCCCCTGGCGACGCCTCGGGTAGTTGCTGAGCTTTTAATGCCTCCATTTGCCTTGGTCTCCAGGCAGAGCTGGGAAAGCCGG